AGAAGTTCTTCGTGCACACAAGCAGTGTAGGGTAGGTGGGCGTTCTGGATTGAAATGCAGAAGTGGCCAGGATAACTGTTGAGCCTGAGCCTGTGGGATGCAGCCAGTGGGAGCCTCACTGCTCCAAGGAGTATTTAAGTGAGGGAGCAGTGAGGTGGGTGGGGGGCTAAAGAGCATCAGCTGAAATACTGAGGGCCAGCGTGAGAGGCAGAGGTTATAGTCCTAGCCTCCTGTCCCTGGGACTTGTTCTGACTGAGACGTGGATAGGACTCAGTATGTCCTCCTCAGACGTTATCAATCTTGAAACTGTTTCATATGAAACCTCTACATTGAAAAATTGAGTTCTAACTTAGCTGTTTAAAAACACCTTTGTATCTGGGCTTATGGAACAAATACAAACTTCTGCTATAAAGGAGAGCTTCCAGAGGAACAGCTTGAGTAGTGCTCTGTAGCTTCAGTTATGTCATGGTGTCAGTTCTTAGAAAATCTGCTAAGCTAGTTATTCAAGAACACCTTGGAAGTCTTCTCTGTGGCTTAATTGCTGGGAAGTAACTGTCATCTGTTGCATTCTTATGTAAAGGGTATATAGCAAGTGGAAGAGTTGATGGATAGAATACAACTGTTCATGTGATCCTAATGTGTCCATGTGGGAGGAGTAGTTTCCCAAGTGAGGCTCATTTCCAGACAAGTCCAGTTAATCTCTCTGTACAAGTATTAAATTACTTACAGTGATTTTGCTTTTAGTGTCATGGAATGAACAACAGAGAAAGAATGCTGTTACCCAAGGTAAAGCAGCATGGCTCTGTAATGCCTTTGCTTGACTGGTTATTTTGATAAGGACCTACAATGAGAGAGGGCAAAACCCAGAGGATTTAGCAGACAGTTCTGCCCTGTGAAAGTGGTTTGCGTAAAATCTGCTTGGTTCTAGTGGGTTCTTACCGAGGATAGAAGCCTGCAGTGTTAATCTTGTAGTTGTCTGATGTAACAGCAGACCTGTGCCTTACATCTCAAGGGACAGCACCTTACAAAGAAGAGCTCATGCAGCTCCTCTGCAAAACCCAGGAAGGAGGTAGGGAACAGTAGTGCTGTGTGAAGTGTCTGTAGTGGTAAGCTTCATCCACAGCTTCTGTCGCCCATATTTTCCTAGCACGTTCATCATCAGTGTAGGTGTTTGGTACTCAACAGCATAAGCATGCCATGCCTAGTTAAACTACTAGAAAGGTGCAAGACCAAGTGATGTTTGACTTGGTGCCATTATAGCACAAGAACTGTATGGCTGTAGGTGGATAGAGACATTAGATAATGCATCTTGAGCAATACTAGCACCAAAGCAGTGGTAAAATTTGAGGAACAAATGGGAAGAAATTTGATCTTTGATGTTATGTTCTCTCTGTAGTTCTCTCTCTTGTGTATGGGCAGAGGGAGGAGTTTAATGCCAAGTTTAGCATGCAGGTTATCTTTAGAAGTGTCTGTAAATAGTTTCTTGTTAGGTGGGATGTAAGACTTCGTGGGTTAGTGCTTTAGTTACAGTGAAATATTTTACAGACAAATACTTGATAAAGACAAATCTTCCTGCTTTTAATAATATTTAAAATTTTGGTTTGTTTTGACATAAGAGCTTTTTCATTCTTTCTCAGTTCATAGCCTTAAATGGCCAAAAATGCAGTTTTAGATTTTTTAAATTTCGTTTCCTAATTGTTTGTCTGTAGGCTTTTTTTTTCCCCTAGTGATATGAGTAGAGAAGTTATTCTCCACCAGGAAAAGTTCTCCTGAAATGTCTAGGCATGACCTTACTAGGATTTTTCTAAGGAGAACACCACAATGTGAAAACAGTGGAATAAAATCGTAACAAAATGGTCTGTTATCTTTCCAGCATCACTTCTGACTGAATATCCTGAAGTAAGACAAGGATATAAATAAAGCTGTCGTGTACCTCTGTAAGCAGGGTCTGTGGTTTAAAAGTGCCCTGGGGTACATAGTTACTGTTGTAAACTCCATCTGAAATGAGTAACTGGAACTGTGGGCGTTACGTCTAACCAATACGCAGGCTGGTGCTTGTTGTTAAAGCGCAAATTTTTTGAACCAGTACTTGAGACTGAAACTAGTCTTCTCTTGAAGCCAGGCCTTGAGAGAGGATTCTGTTGCAAAATCGAGGCTGGTCTTGATACGGTTAGCCTGACATTGACGGGCTGTTGGTTAGCTGTGCCTTGCGGAGGGTGCTGGGTGGTCTGCAGCCTCGAAGGTCTGAGAGCTGTCTGTGGGACTGGGGTGATGTGTGTCTGGTGTCCGCCTTGGGGCAGTGGTGTGGAGACATGCCCGCCTGGCTGGAGGAGAGCTTCTTTTACACGTCATGGAAGATAATGCTAGAATTCAGATGGAGGGAAAAAAAATCTAGGTGTTAAGAAAGTCTGGAAAAAAATTATTATCCTGGCAATTTTTTTTACTTTTATCTGGAAACTAATTAGAGAAAATAATTAGGGGTGATGTAGTGCTTCATTGAGATGTAAGGGTGTAGTCCAAATAAGATAAAGACAGTTTATGGTCTCTTAGAGTGCAACTTCCACAAGGTTTTGATTGTTGTTTTATAACCATCACAACTTGATTGTTCCTGAGGACTGGAAATATTTTGAAGAGGAACATTTTTGCTAAATGGGAATAGGTTCAGCCCTTGAGGTGATGTCTGTGGATTTTGGAGCTTGCTGTAGCACCTTGGACTGTGTGCTGACCAAGCGTGCAAGTCCAAGTAGGCAAATAATACCTGCCCAGTGCCAGGGTGAAGTCAGCGAGGCTGAGCAACTGTGTGCAAGGGGGTTACGTAAAGCTGGGAGTGGAGCAGCCTCATATCTTCATGAAACACGGCTGACTGCAGGGATCTGATGTGCAAAGACTTGTGAAAACATGCTGCCTGGGAAAAAGACTTCTTGGGATAAGAAATCCTGCTGTTGCAGATAGATGCGCTAGTGGAGTGTAAAAGCAGAAACTTGGTGAAGGATTTTCTTTTGCTTTCTCAAACAAGAATTCATGAAAATATTCTGAGCAAATGTTATTTTTATTTACTAAGAGATTGAGCAGTAAAAGTGTACGTTTCTCTGTGTGTAAAATCCTAATAGTATTACATGGTTCGGTCATTTCAGTTAACGGCTACTTGGTATCTCTTGTCTTAAGTGACAGCGAATGGGATGAGCAAAAATCACTTTCCGCAGCAGATGTAGTTCAAGGATCCATCTAAGACATCCAGAATTTTCAGCATTGTTTAAAGCTGTTATTTAATGCGTTTTTTTCCCCACGCATAATGAGTCCTTGTACGTACTTCAGATTTACAGCAATTTGGAAGTTATAAACTTTCTACAAGTCCCTTTCCTTTAAGCTGATTGTATCTCCAGTTAACTTGTGATGTAATTCTGGCAGTATCTTTGAGCTGATCTTGCATATGACACTCTTCAATCAAATGTGGAAGCCCTAAAGAGAGAACATGGGGAGGTTAGCAGTGTGCATTTGGTGATGGGCAACATGGAAAGCAACCTGAAACAGCAGGGGAATTGTCAGCTTCTCCTTGCCTTGCGTTGTGCAACTAAGATGATAAAGGGACTGGAGCATCTCCCTACGAGGAAAGGCTGAGACAGTTGGGCTTGTTCAGCCTGAAGAAAAGAAGACTGAGAGGGGACCTCATCAACATGTACAAATATCTTAAGGGTGGAAGTCATGAGGATGGAGCCAGACTCTTTGCAGTGGTGTCCAGCGACAGGACAAGGGGCAGTGGGTGCAAACTGAAACATAAGAGGTTTCAGTTGAATATGAGGAAAAACTTCTTTACTCTGAGGGTGACGGAGCACTGGAACAGGCTGCCCAGGGGGGTTGTGGAGTCTCCTTCTCTGGAGATATTCAAAGCCCGCCTGGATGAAGTCCTATGTAACATGCTCTAGGAGAACCTGCTTTAGGAGGGGGGCTGGACTAGATGATCTCCTGAGGTCCCTTCCAACCCTTGCAATTCTGTGATTCTGTGTGCAGTCATCTATAGGCTTGAAATCCCAGTGTGTGGTATAGCATCATCTCCACAGTTCTTATCTCTTATGTCGACAAACAAAAGAAGTGAGCAAGAGAAAATGAATACACTTGTCCAAGGGAGATTTGTTCTGTGATCATGTTTAATCAAACATGTAATCAACATTTAATCAAACATGTAATAAACTACTTGCATTTTTCCTTCTAATTAGTTGCTGCCAATTATTGGGATTGAAGAGGGAGTTTCAGGGCGGAGCCAGACAAAAATAACCCAGAGGAAAACAACTAGCTGCTACTGTGCCTTTGTGCCTGCCTTTCCAGCTCCTACTCAAAAACTGGATCAGCTGTTTATACATCCGCCTCCTTAGCAATGATAAGGACAATGGTAATTAGGTAGATTAGAATAGAAATTCAGCTTTTTATTTTTCCCTTTAAGAGGGTTTTAGGTTATCTTAACTCATCAGCGCGTTGTGATCACACCAATGTTGTAATGGGGAGGGGCAGGTACCATCTACATAAGTCCATAAAAAGAAACAAATGTAAAAAGATGCAGCTGAACTGTTGGCTTTTTTTCCTGAGAGGGAGAATGAGGGTATGAGTAACAGAGCCTCAGTATGATGGTATCAGTTAGCTTGTCAAGGCAGCTTCTAGAAAATCTGAGGAGGCCCAAAACTTGTCTGGTTCTTCCAGTTACACAGTGTAGCAGACCTCCTAGCAGATCCAAATCTGGGCTACAGCAGGGTCTGGTTAGAAAATGTAATAACATTTTGGGGGTTGTGTATCAGCTCCTGTGTGCCCTGGCCAAATTTGGCAAAGTTGTAGTCTTAAAGCACGTGTGCTCAGTCACTGATGGAAATGATGGGTGTAACAGCTGCTGTCTAGGATAAGTTATGAAAAAAACAAGGGCAGGATTAATGGGAGTGCCCTGTGTGCGTGTACCCCAGTGTGTCTGTGAGAGAGATTAGTAGCAAGATGTGCCATGGAGGGTCAGGGTGTGGGAGACAGCAAGTCACATGCTGTGGGTGTTGGCCCAAGGCAGAGCTCTGAAGTGGTCTAGACACCAGGACAGGGAATTTTCACCAGCTGGGGTGGATTTCTCAGAGATACTGTTTTGCCATTTTCAGGTGCAGAAACTGTTGTGAGTGATGGAGACTTTTCATCTTGCTGTCTAATCTCTGCTCCAGCTTCAAGTTTGTGCTTTCTTACCTTGGCTGATCCTATGCATAACAGTCCTATGCTCATCCCTGCCCAAAGCTTTTGGTATATTTCTGTGAATCTTCATGAGCTATGCTGCCTTGATATTAAAAGGTTGGCAGCAGTACCTTGTTCCAGGTGTTGGATTTCCAACTCCTCAAACTGCAGCCCCATTCAATTAGACCAATGGAAACCTCTATTCTGTTATCTGAACCTTTTGGTAAGGCTTTTGCCCAGGGTGTGTGTGGTGGGTTTTTTGTTTGGTTGGTTTTGTTCCCCCTAACCCCAAATATTCACATCACCTCTTAATATTATTCTGTATGCTGTATAATAAAAAATATTTATTATTTGCTGTCTCTCCATTGTGGTCCTAATTAAGAAAAAAAGGATCTATCTCAAATATTGCATGTTGCAGACATTTCATTTGATTTCCAGGATCATGTGTAATTTGTGCAGATCACCAAGATGATTCACTGCAGCACTGTCAAACGATCTATCCTGTTGCTTCTCCTGAAAGTTGGCCACTTGTCAATAAATGGAGTATTTTCAAACAGTATGATCATCAGTTGTTGGAAGCCAACCTTTCATTTTATTACAAGGCTCTCTAATGAGGCTTCCAAATAAAGTAAAATCACTTTTCTTTGATCTATGTTGATGTAAATGCAAGCAGAAGAGTCAGTTGCAGGGGAAGGAAATTCCCATTATTGGTATTGGCATCTGAATCTGTTCAAATGGAGAAAAGTAATCCAGTTCATATTTTTTTAATCTGTACCATGTATTTTCTGCTGAACATCTTTTCCTTCTCAAATAAGGTACTAGGCTGCAGAATTGCACTTTTCAGATTCCAAGTGCTTTTCTGTTTTCTATTGACATGGTTCATACAATGTTTGGGGGGAGCTGCACAGTGAAATAAAGGTGAAACCCAGTTTCAGATGATACTGGAACTGCTTTTAGCCAGCTTTTCATATGGGGCTTAACCAGCCAGTGCTCTTTAAAATGACAGCTGCATTCATAAGTGCCCTAAACTAAAGGCTGAAGCTTGAAATGCATCGCAAAGGGAGCAAACAAAACAGAGGAACTGACTGGATGAGTTATGTGAGCCTAAACTGATGCAGAGTTTGCAGAGAAAAGATTTCTAGGAACATCTCTTACTTAATTATTTCATGCGAAATCTTTCCATGGATGTCCTTTTAACCTGATGAAACACTGGGCTGGTATCTGTGACTGTGTATAGCTGGCCACAGTAACTTCTCGGCATAGGCTCTTCTTGTCCGTTATGTCTATGAATCTATGACTGACTCTGGTTCCATTAAGTGACGAGGAAAATTTTTTCCTTGCATATGCAAACAGTGGTCACTTGGTGAGTGTAGGAGACCAGAAATCACAAGTGCTCTCAAAGCTAATGAAACTTGAGGGAGACTTGGTGTCTGACTGGTACAGTGCCAACCATTAGGGGCTGTCCCTTGCGGAGGGCAGGGGGAAAAGTTGCAATCAGGTTTCTTCAGTGAGCAGACATGTTAAGTTTCTTGTGTTAACTTTCTCTTGTTTGTATAATGCAGATTTGCATGAAGGAAAAAGCCCCAGACATCTATATATCTTACTTGAAGCCTGGCTGGAGTTGAATAAATGCATTTTTGCATGGCAAGTTGCTGAGCCTAAATATATCTCTCATTTCTGTAAAAAAAAAATGCCCAGTCTCTTTTAGAAATCCAAGAAGTGGAAAAAAAATTGTGTATTACACATTTCTCATGCATGTCTCAGTGGGTGTCTGGCCTCTATAAAAACTCCCAAAAGGTTTATTCAAGGCTGTTTGCCAAAGTCTTGGAAGGTTGCAGTGGACGTACAGCATTTGGTTTCAGGGTTAGTGCATAAAAAGTAATTTCTAGATGAAAGTTGGCTTGGCAGGCATGCTCTTCTCTCTGTATCCCTTGGTTTTAGCAGAGTGGAGGTGTGTGTTTGTTCTCCATCACAGCGTGCAGGAGACCTGCAGAACTTGCAGTACCAGCCTGGGGCCCAGCAGAGCCTCGTCTCACTGGTTCTACTGGACTGACGGTCTCTGTGCAGCATGCTTATGTTGAAGATGAGAGCAGCTGAAGCTCCTTCTCAGAATGTCAAGGCAAGCCATAGAGTGCTTTTATTTGGGTAAAAGGCAGGAATCCAGATAAGACTTACGAAAGTAAACAGAGCACCTGTAGCGTGCTGGAGAGAGGTGATGGGGAGGGGGCAGAGGGAGGTGTGTGGCAAGCGGCAGCTTCTAGCCTATGCAGAAGTCTAATTTAAGTACCTTTTTTTTTTTTTCATTACTTTATTCTGTTTAAGAAACTGAATTCTGATCTTTGATTAGCATGTGAGAATCCAGCAGACAGAGAGGACTTTTCAGGTTGGTTTGCCATACCTGTGCCCTTTGTAGGAAGGAGATTCCCCCATGGATACGCTTAATTCATTCCTCGGATTTCAAGGATTATGACAAAATTTCTTCTTCAAAGCTTCTACACTGTTACAACAAATGCCTCAATATGGTCTTAATATGCTGACTATCAACTTGGTAGGAGACCCACAAACTCTCTGCAAACCTTCCAGAGGCTTGAAGAAGATACACTGTTTTCTTGAATAATTTTTTGCTATCAGAGTTGATTTGCGTTGCTCGAACCCCAGAGTGCTGTGGTAGTTCTCCAGGTCGATGGCATAGGATGCTTTACAGATGCACTGCCTAGAGGGGTTATGGTCCAGTTAAGACAGACTGGATCATGGTTCTCGTAAATGGTTTCTAATACCATTTATTTTTCTGCATGCTTTTGTCAGGTAGCTGTGCGCAAGCTCCAACGAGATTGTTAAAAATCACTATGGCAGATGGCTAAAACTAAGAGAAGTCCTGAAGGGGTGACGTTCTCAGAGGACAATTGCCAGGCACTTCCAGAAAGCCTGCTTACTGTATGCTAGGATAGGTTGGGCACTCAAAATTCTGATGTGAGCTTGAGAGACCAAACCAGTTCACCTTTTGCTGTCTTTTCTCTTTATTCTTTCACTTTCCGTTCCCAAAAAAAAAAAGACAATTGCTATCAATAGAGTTACGCACATTGTAGGTTAGCTTACCAGATGTGTTGCACTCCTTCGATCTGAATTCTTCCTGTCCAAATAGAACAGGGAGGTGTTGGGAAGGCTTATATGTAGGGCATGACGTAAATATATTTAATCTGAAGATCCCTCTCTCCCTCTAGATAGATATAATGAGATACATAGATAGGTAAATATAGCTAGATTTATATTTTCAGCCCAAATCCCTGTATTGTTTCTTTAACCTTGCTCGGTAGCTGATAACAGTATGCCATTTACATTAATACTGGTAAACCAATATTCGTGATTTGGACAGCTTATCTGCAATAATAGAGAAGAATCGTTTGATGCCTAAATCTGATTGATGGGGCGTAAGTCTAAAACCACAAATGAAACAACTTCCTGGGTGTCTTAATGAATGTCATGATTCTATATGTTGCCTCTATGTAAATCTCATCTTGCCTCATAAAAGCCCCAGAAACCTTGAATATATTTGATTAACCAAAATATGGGAGGTAGCTGTTTTAATAAGGGCACATTGGTAGTTATTACAGTTCTGAGAGAAAGCTCTCTATAAAATATACATGCAGGTTTTACTAGCCTTCGTGTATGTAAGTTAAAAATTAAAACACATATCGAACGGTAAATAACTTTATGTTGGGTCACAATGAACAGTGAGGCAGGAGCTTGAAGGAAGGCCCAAAATAAACCAAGGCTTGCTTGCATCTGGCTTAAATCTTTTGTTTCTGAGAGCTGGTCTCCTCCTAGGTGGATATCTATAAGAACAACCTGATTTTGTTGGTGTTCCAGTACAGATGTGGGGTGGACTAGCTTTTTCAGCCTTGCCTATGCTGGAACAGAGAGATCTATTCTCTTCTTACCTGTGCTCTGCCCTTCTCATCCTGGTCATCTTTTCCAGTCTGAACAGGCTTGCAGTTCAGTCTACCTTTGACTGTAGTACAAGAAGATACCAGTGACATAGCTTTAAACAAACTGGTTCAGGGGATTTCAAGAGTGAAAAAGAAAGTTTGGCTGAAAAAGCCAGAAGCTGGCTACATCCTCAGGTGAGTGCTGCAGTCTGCACTAAGCTGTGTGCTGCCACAATAAAATAGCTCTTAGTACCTGAGCTAGGGATTTTAAAGCTAGGTGAGGCTCCAGTTTCTAGATGGATTTATAGGTAGGTAGGCAGAATGTGTGTGTTGATTCGACTCTATGCATTGCTTCAGCACTTGTTAATTCTTAGTTCTTGTTACAAAAGATGTGGTCTTTGAAAGGAGGCAGACAGGCAGGAAGCTTGATTATCTTGTCTGATGCAGTTCAAGAATTTACTGGTAAACCTCTCTGTTCAAGAGTTGATACTGCTCAGAAGCAATGCAGAGGCCAACATAATTACAGGTCGAGTTCAGAGGTGTGGTACTGCAACTGACTTCAGATGCGATGGTATCTCAGTCTAAGAGAATAGGCATTTGACTAATACTGCTTGCTAGTTTGGTTTGAGAACTGTTTGAGTATAAAGTTAGAAAGACCCATGCAAAGGTAGGAGCAATATTGCTGGACAAAATTTACTGAAGGACATGAAAATGCAGCTGGCATACAGTGTAAACCTAAAGCTGTATCAGTCTGTCATTACACGATTTGCCTGCTGCCAGCTCTCCATGCTAACTAATGTACCTCTTAGTGAATAGGGGCTTGCCTTTCTTGCCCAAGTTGTGTGAAGATTTCCTTGATGAAGAAGAAAATCTGCATACCTGATTTCTGGGGCTTCACTGGCAATGCAATGTGGAAGGTTTTAGAATCTTTTTTTGCTGACTAGTGACTTATTCTGTGATTTGAAAGAATAAGACACCAATAATTTGTAACTGCTGGCTTAAATTAATATGGGAGGAGAGT